AGATAAAATTAACATACAATATAAAACCACAGTAAAACAAAAAACAAGCAAAGATGTAGCAGCAAGCTTAAACATTTGCGTTTCAACCTTCATACAAACCAGTTATTGATTACAATGTTAGTTCTTAGTGGTTATTTGACCTTTGTGGGCATTTAAGACATCATTTCGTGGTTTGCTAGAAAGCTATTGCCAATACTAGACAGCAGTTTCTTATAGGAGTATTACTATAGAGCATTTCCATGTTAGCGCTAACCACAAGCTAAAACCCCATCCCCAATTTAACACAATACCTGATGTAACTGCTGGCTAACTCCCTATCCCTGAGCTAATGTGTTTATTGGGATGTACCGCTCTAGACCTGAGTTAACATGATAGCTAACATAGTAACGTGCTAACCATGATCTAACCCACTAGCTAATGTGCTAACAAGCCAACCACAACAGTTTTGCTCTTGCTCTTCCATATCAATGTTTTTAACGGAAGATTTAGTGGCTGAGTTTCTCTTACTGCCACCTCCATTTCAGAAACTGTAGTCTCATGCAGTTCACTCACAGTACTCACAGTAAGCTGCTACATATGATGACTAGACTGGTTTGGAGGAATATACAGCATCCACCAACTACTGGAGTTTTTAAACACCTCAGTGTCGCTGCTGGACTGAGAATAGTCCACCAACCACAAATATCCAGCCAACAGTGTCCTGTGGGCAGCGTCCTGTGACCACTGATGAAGGACTAGAGGATGACCAACACAAACTGTGCAGCAGCAGATGAGCTATCGTCTCTGACTTTACATCTACAAGGTGGACTGACAAGGTAGGAGTGTCTAATAGAGTGGACAGTGAGTGGACACAGTGTTTAAAAACTCCAGCAGCACTGCTGTGTCTGATCCACTCAGACCAGCACAACACACACTAACACACCACCACCCAAATAGTACCTGCTCTGTGAGGGTCCATGGGGGTCCTGATCACTGAAGAACAGGGTAAAAGGGGGCTAACAAAGTATGCAGAGAAACAGATGGACTACAGTCTGTAATTGTAGAACCACAAAGTGCACCTATATAGTAAGTGGAGCTGATAAAATGGACAATGAGCGTAGAAACAAGGAGGTGGTCATAATGTTATGCCTGATTGGTCTCTGTATATATGTATATATATATATATATATATATATATATATATATATATATATATATATATATATATATATATAAATGATTTTGTTCAACATTTGATCCAATTGATCCAACTGATAAATTATTTTAGTTTTTTGATCTTAGCTTTAATTTTATTATTAAATTTGTACAGAAACTATTATTATTAGCATTAATTTGAAATAATACAGAAAACATAGAAATCTTGAAAACAAATGATAAATATCTGTGTACAGACTACAGCTTGTAGAAAAAGGAGTGTTCATGTTATGCGAGGGAGAGACCTTGGCCTGCAGCACTGTTTTTTGAAAGCTGGTTCCCTTGTGCTGAAAAAAGGTGAAATGAGTGCAGTCAGGAGAAACAAAGGTGTGATGGGATCTACACTTTTCACCTGAGTGCAGCATTTGGCTCATGTGTCACGGTACACAGAGCCAGAGTACACAAAGTCAGCCGTTTTACAAAGGTCATTTTTTAAAGGTTGTAAAACTGGTTTGACCATTTATTGTGAACTGCGCTTGCTTTTTTTAAAAAACATGGACCCAAACATACAAACCTCCTTGATATCAGACAAATAGAGAAAGACAAAAATGGTGGTAGAATTATTGCTATGTTTGAAGTTCCACTGTCATTTCATAAACTTTCCAACTGTTTTCCACTGTTTTAGGATCACTGATAGTCAGGTTTAATTGGAAGAAAAGACACAAAACTAGGTGCAAATAAAACTATTGGCATATAGCACATTGAGGGTCCGCAGTTGATGATGCTCCTCGAGATAAACAGAAGAACTGGTAATGCTGGTCTAGGCTTTTTTGTCTATACATGTCTGTACAAGTGATCCCAGCACTATGTAAATGAGATGCCACTCCTCAGCACATACCTATGATCTATCCTAGGTAACAGTCATAAAGTAAATATTTAGCCAACTAAATATATACTCATTTACGTCATGTCTGCCCTGAGGAAAAGCAGTCAGGTAGACAGACGGAGAAAATACCTTTTGGTCTGAAAAAGTTCCCTTGGCAATCTGTCATAGTAGGAAAACTGCAGCTGTGGATTCTGGCAACCTCAATAAACTGAAGCCAGTCTTTCATTTATAAAAAAAGACAAACTTTGGAACCACTTCATAGTAAGTGTCTCTAATAACTGTGTAGTTACATGTGAACAACATATACAACAACAGCGTAACTACTAATGATTTAGTCACTGTTACAGATGGAATACAGAAGTTCACCTTATGTAATTACACACGTGTATCAACTTCAGTTTTGCCTCATGTAATTACACAAGTGCATCTTAATAGTTGTAACAGCCTATTCTCTGTCTTGTAATTACACAATGGTAATAACAAATATAATTACATTTGTAGTCAGACTGAAACAGCAGTTTTTTGAGGGGTTTTTTTCCAGCCATAAAGGAAGTATGTAATAACTTACATTAACAATTTACTTACACTGTATCTGCCAGCTTTCCTAACATTTAGCTAGCATTTATATTGCTAATGTTGTGACATTATAACCAGTTTCAACTTTAAACCATTCTGTAATGTGACAGAACAGCAGATGTCCCCTTATCTTAAAATGTAACTTTTATGACGTTAATTAAATGTGTTGCATTAAACCCAAAACAATGTTTATACTACTACTCTATTATTACACAGTACCTACATAACAACTACACAGGAACCGTCCACTTATTTTACAGTGTAACTTTAACACTACACTGCAGGAAAGTTCCTGTGTAGTTGTTATATAGATACAATGTAATTACAGGATGGTATTAATGAATGTGACATGATTAGGTCACCTTGTTACAACACAGTTATGCCACAGTAAATAATGTAAAACATACTTTACTATACTGCTGGAAAAGATTTCTGATCTGTAGTGTATCAAAAATACACTTGTTCAATTACACAAGGCAAAACTGTTGATACACATCTGTAATTACATAGGCTGTACTTCTGTAATCCATCTGTAATATTGACTAAATCATCAGTTGTTACATTGTTGTTGTGTAACTACACAGTTATTAGAGACATTTAATATAAAATGGGACCCAAACTTTATCCAGTATTAATAGGGGTTGAACTGTTATGAACAATGTTGTACAAAAGTATGAAACATCTTTATTTGTTCAATTTCCATTCAAGCATTTAAAGCTACACTGTGTTTGTTTTGGAGATTTGGGGATTCTCTGGTGCAAATGTGTGAATGCATGCAACATGTGGAAGAACACGTTACATTGCATGGGTTGTGCTTTGAGCCTCTTCCCTGAGTGAATGAATCTGATGACTGTGAACATGTTAAAAGACAATTCAAAGAGAACTCAGCCAAAACTTGGTGAAAAATGTGTCTTACTTAAGTGAATTATCTACTATTGCCATCATATCTTCATCAGTAGGCTATAATGTTGATTGTGTGTTGGGGACCTAAACATCAAGCTGGACCTTCTCTTTGAGCCTGAAATTGCTATGCAAAGATGAACAATGTGGTCCAAAAAAAACAACCCACCATTTCAGGCTTTACACAGTGACTCCATATTCTGGCTTATTTTTTTTTTCCTGACCCAATAATGTTACTTTTTCAACTGTAACATAAAATATTATAGAGTGCACCATTAAAAATGATTTTTTATGGAAATATTTCTGAGGACATTAGATATAAGATAATCCTTTTGCACATGGAAGGCAAAAGGAAGGATGCTCGTAGCCCATCGCTATATGCTGCAGTCATTTCATGATTTTTTAAAGGTTTTGTGTAAGAATGAACATATGATAACACAGCACTGTTTATTGTAAAAACCTTCGCTTTATAGGTACTTGATGGTCACCAGATTACCATGGCGAGTCTTATTTAGCACCAAACCAGCAGCGCCCTCTTCTCACGCTGGAGCTGAATCTCAAAAGGCTCCCTGCTCCCTACGTAGTGCACTATGTAGGAAATTAAATACTGGATCCTGCAACCCAGCAGTGCAAATTATAGCTAAGAAATGGTCATTTGGGCCACATCCACACTCGACAAATGATGCACTGTTTCATAGCTAGCACACTATTTAGGGAGTACAGAGCCATGTGGAATTCAGCCGGTGGTTTGACGCGACTTTTGATTGAAAATTTGAAGCATGTAAGACATTCAAGTGACATGTTTTAGACTTTTATACTGCCAGTTAATCATACTGTAAGTATTTTAACGCAAGCCTGTGATATTAATGATGGAGTTGTTTAGGCTGTTGGCTCTTTTAGCCTGTTAGCTAGCTGACCAGCCTAGTTCTAGTTAAGTCGCCAGCCCCTCAGTTTAAACTAAAAAAGAGGTTTTTACTTCATCAGTACACTCGGTGGTCCACGCGAACAGCATGAGAATCAAAGATTATACCATTAACAATACAAGGGTTTTTTGCTGTGGCGCAGTGATTCACTTGAAAGAAGCCCTGAATATTCTGTAATAACTCTCTCTAGGACGAAGCAATCTGAACCCAACAATGTACAATGAGCTCCTCAGTATATGGAGCTCTGAACAAGCCGGGATGCCCCTGCGTCAGAGCAATGAGATAGGCGGTTGCAACGTTTAACCTCTGTTTGCAACTTCTGGGTGTAGACCCCTGTACCCCTTCTTTTGTCTGATAGAAAACGGAGATCAATTCCAGCATCGCATGTAATGCAATCGATTACACATACGTCAAGGTATGTAGCGTATTTGTTTGGTTCAGTTTGCTTCATCCTAACGGGAGTTACAACAGAATATTTAGGGCCTCTTTCAAGGAATCTCCCTATATAATATGAAAATATTCTACTATTACATTTTAGTGGTAGAATTCCCATTCCCAAACGGACAAGTTGAGGAGAAATGTTTGTTTATGTGATTCATGTTCTTTTATTTTTGTAGGTTTCACTTCTTCAGATTGTTTGGTACAGGAACAAACTAGCAAACAATAGTAACATGTTTAACGTAACTATCTTCATCTACTCACGGGGTCACAAACCCTTTGACTTTTGTGAAATTATATCCTACTGGCAAAAGATTTCTGTGGGCATGAAGAGGTATTTTGTGCACATAAAAAGTTTTACAGGCTCAGCTGAATGACAGAATTCACTTTTTTATCTTTTCATCTTGACAAAGGTAAAAGTCCTAGTAAAGGTGTAAAATATTGAGCTGACTATTTAGCCTCCTACTGGTAGAGTCATCACTTGAGACATACCTTCACTTAGGAAGAACGACAGATGTGATGATCAGTGGTGCTAAATTTTTGCGTCCGTCATTGGAACAGGGGTTGAAATATGGATAGAGTTTCTCAGTGAAAGACTGACCAGTGAAAGAGTAGATATGAGACCTGGCCTCAACATCATAGAAGGAGACCAATCCCTCCTCATAATCCACAAACACCCCCACCTTCTGTGGGGCTTGTTTCAAGGAGAGAAGGGCAGAGGGAGAGTCCAGGGCCTCATATTCAGTCTTATTCCTCAGACAAATACTCCAGTATCCATCCTCAGGGTTGGCTGTAATCTCTCCCTTCCTGTTGCTGGACTCTCTGGTCACTCCCAAAACCCACTTAGTTTTTCTTTTGACCTGAACCTCATAGTAAAATCTCCTGGAGGCGAACCCTTCCTTTCCCAGAACACAGGGGGAGCTGTCAAACCTCCGGGTATTTTCAGGTAGATTTTGTTGTGAGTCTCCGTGTCTCACTTGTTTCCCATCAGCAGACAAGATTAGAGCAGGATGAGCTGAATCAGGATCCACAGTCACATCCACTGAGAAACAGAGACACAAATTAAACCCATGTTGATAACATACAGCATGTAAAATAGGTGGTTATGTGATCCGTAAGAGCTTACACACCTGCATACTGCTGGATTCTGTTCAGTTCTGTTTGAAAAAGAATAATAGACAACAGCTGGATATTAGAATCGTTATTATATGCTTCATTAGATGTCTGAAAAATAGCAAAATCACTGCAATGTTAATATTAAACACTGCATAAAACTATAATGGGCATAGATGGGAGTTTTAAGGCAAGGCAAGTTTATTTATACTGCACTTTTCATACACTATGATCATTCAAAATACAAAGATGATTAAAATAAAAAAAACAGAATAGAAATTAAAACCTCATTAAAACATTGGGTTTAAGAGAGAAGAAAATCAAACGTTAAATCAAAAATTAAATGAGGATAATAAAGAGCTAACAGTGTTTTAAACTGAGCTGAAAGCTGCTTAAATAGGATTATTTTAAGCCTGGATTTAAAAGTGTGCATTGTCGTGCATTGTCTTCTAATGCTGTCTGTCAACTGGTTCCACTTTAGTAGCTTAGAGGTGCTTCTCCATGTTTAGTCTTCACCTTCAGCAGGACTATCTGACTAGTTCCTAATGATCTGAGATTCTGCTCAGATCATCTCGATGCAGCAATCGGATAAATAAGCTGCTCCTACATCATTAAACCGTTTATAGACCAGTTATAGTACCTTAAAGTCTATTCTGTAACAGTCTAGTAGTCAGCGTAGGGATTTAAGAATGGGGTGGTGCTGCTAGAAATAAAGGTGTGGATGGGTTTCTCCAGGTCTGGTTTAGTCAGAACATCTCTGATCTTGTTGATGTTCTTAAGGATAAAAAGCTGATTCAGTAACTGCTTTGATATGACTGCTAAAACTGAGATCAGAGTCCATTAGTACACCAAGGTTATATGTTAGTTTGTTAGATTTTAGGGCTCTCAAATCCAAATAGGCAGCTAGTCTGTGCCTCTCATTACTGTTCCCAAATAGAATATTTTATCTTAATTCAACTGCACAAAGTTTTGTCCCATCCAGTTAGTGATATGCTCAAGGGACTTGAGTCATGGGGCCATAGATGTTTGGGGAGAGGGCCAATTAAATCTGAGTATCATCTGCGTAGATGTGGTAAGATAGTCTTGTAAGATTTGGCCAAGAGAAAGCATGTATAAACTGAATAAGAACAGCCCAAGAATTGAACCCTGGGGCACACCACAAGTCACTGGCACTCTCTCAGTAACACTGGGCTTCATTCACCAGTATCTTCCTAAGTTTTTTTGTAAATTTGTTCTCGAGAAAGGTACTAAAGAAAAGTCTATGTCAGATTCATGACGTGTTCTTAAACCTCAAAATTGTTCACATTGTTCACATTGTTCATATTGTGTAGATACTGTTCTTACCTAAGAACTAATCCCAAATAAGAAACATTGGTGTCAGAATATTTGTGAAAAGTGCATAAGTGGGTTTTAAGAGGAACTGTCTTCCTAAGAACACTTGGTTAATGAGGACCAGTATTTTCTATCTACCTTGCAGGTATGAACTGAACCAATATAGGACAGTTCCTGAGAGACCAACCCAGTTCTCAAGTTCATCTATGAGAATTTTATGGTCTATAGCTCTACTGACAAACAAACAAAAAAAAACCTAAAAAAAATATCCACTTTTTGCTTTATAGTGTTCCTGCCTTTTCTAAATATCATGAGCTCAATCAATATAGCTGAAGAGAAGAGGAATGAAAGATGGCAGAGAAACATCTGAGTGGTAAGGAAATGACAAAAATAATCTAAAATGAAATTTCAAAATACATCATCTACCATTCATGCATTAAGGTGTCAGGATCTTCATGACATTCTGAAGCCACATTTTCTCCAACTGTCCTCAACCTCACAAGATCTGAGAGTTCAGTAAATACTTACCAATCTCAACAAGATTCTCTGTTTTCTTATCAAGTGATTCCTGAAGCTGAGACAGAGCTCTCCTCAGAGTGTCCACACTCAGATTTGTATTAACATTGATATTGTTCCAGTTCTTGGACTGCAGAGGACTGCAGAGTGATGGGTAAACCTACAGTACAGCAAGAGAGGAGAAACCCCTCAGCATGGGGAGCACTGTTCCTTTATGAACTGGATTTTTATTAGTGAGAAACAGAGGGACTCTGACCTGTAGGAGGTGGATGTGGTCATCTGATTGTGCAAGCTGCTCCAGCTCAGTGCCTCTCCTCTTTAGCTCAGTGATTTCCTGCTCCAGCTCTTTAATGAACTCTTCAGCCTGCCTCTCTACCGTTTCCTGCTTCTTCTCCATCACCTCAAGCAGCTCAGCTTGGCTTCTCACAATGCAGCGCACCAGAGCTCTGAAGACCTCCACACTATCTGCTATCTCTTTCTCTGTGCTTTTCTAACAAGAAACAAGTCAAATTCTTTTATATTACCACCTTCATTTTCACAGGTTCAAGGCTGGAATGTTTCTTAATGAAGCTTAATGAATACAATGTGATTTATTTTGATAATGTGTGAAGACTCACTTTATTGATGTATACAGAGTGTTTGATTTCCTCAATCTTTTTCAGTCGGTCATGGATCATCTGTTGAACTTTTGCTTGTGTCTCTCCCAACTCAGCCTAAAAGAGAAAAAAAAATCACAATATTAATCATTCAAAGAAGTTTTAGATTAGATTATGCAATAACACTCTAAAAACATATAAGTTATCTCTGCTTGAATGACCCCCACCTTCTTTGCCCGACTCTCCTTCTCTATAGGAACAGTGCTGTGAGTCTTGTGGTCTGTCTCAGTGCAGAACTGACACACACACGTCTGGTCGTCTCTACAGAACAGCTCCAGGGGTCTCTCATGTTTCTGGCAGATGTAGTCCTCCAGGTTCTCCACAGGGTCCATCAGTTGGTGTTTCTTGAGTTTAGCTGCAGTTTGGTGAGGCATCAGATGAGTCTCACAGTAAGATACTCCACAGTCCAGACAGGACTTTACAGCCTCCAGCTTTTTGCCAGTGCAGGAGTCGCACAGCACCTTCTTCGACTTAAAGAAGAGTTGCCCTGCAGTGTTGCTGGAGTTCAGCTGAAGTGCCTCCTTGAACTGAGCAGCCAGTCCCGAGATGAACGTGTTCACACGTAGCTCTGGCCTTTTGGAGAATTCCTCCTTACAAACTGGACACTGGTAGTTCACACTGCTGTCCCAGAACTCTTTGAGACAGACCATGCAGAAGTTGTGTCCACATGGAGTAGAGACTGGATCAGTGAACACATCCAGACAGATAGAGCACTGGAGCTGATCTTCAGACAGGACACTGTTGGTGGAACCCATGACTGACAGAAACACAGAGACATGATTGGTATGTGTGTCCAAATCTAAGGAATCGGTTGTTGTTTCCAACAAAATATCATCTAGGCATCACACTGATACCATGTCCGATAGCACACTGTGTAACCTACCTAACTAAGCAGCTGTTAGCGTAAATGAGTGCAGTGTACCTTAACAGTTAAATCATTAAACTCTAGCTGATTGTAAATGAAGTGAATTAGCTAACTATCCTATATTGGTTACCTTGAATCGAGTAGCACTGCAGTGAAGAGTGGGTTTTGTTCCACATCAGAAAAGCTTGGGTAAAGTATGTTACATTTTATAGTTTTGGTCCTCATTGGTCTCTTTCAGTAACAGTACAGCGACAGCAGAAATCATATTCGAAACTAACGTGTCCGAGGAGCTCACTTACGGAGTTTTGGAGTATTTTGTTTGGCTGGTTGAGCTGCAGTTGAATGTCCTCTAAAGTGAGACATACACTGTTCAGTTTTAGAAATTTAGTTCTTAAGTCACTCACACTGGGTGGTGCAGTGGGTAGCGCTGTTGCCTCACAGAAAGAAGGGCCTGGGTTCGATTTCCCGGCTGGGAGACCAGGGTCTTTTCTATGTGTAGTTTCCATGTTCTCCCTGTGTCTGCGTGGGTTTCTTCCGGGTTCTCCGGTTTCCTCCCACAGTCCAAAGACATGCAGTCAGGGCAATTGGACATGCTAAATTGCCCCTGTGTGAATGTATATGTCTGTCTGTCTGCCCTGCGATGGACTAGTGACCTGTCCAGGGTGTTTCCTGCCTTCCACCCAATGACTGCTGTGTGTGTGTGTGTGTGTGTGTGACACACACTGTATGAAAACGCTTGGTAAGTGCAGCCTCTACAGACAGCTCTGTCTATAAACAATTTCAAATAAAGCTGTTTTATTCAAAGCAACACTCTGCACACTGAGTACTGAGCAAACAGCAGCTTGGCTAATCAGACTGTGCACTGAAGCTAAAAACCAGGTGTTGATGCACACAGTAGGACAATACAGTCTCTCTACAGCCTATTTTACAAAAAAACAACAGCATATTAACGTTTTTCCTTTGCAATTCTACTTTGTCAAACAGTTTAAAGTTGGAATACATGGACTTTGGCAGCAAATATAGACTTTTTTCGTCTCCGTTTTGTTAACTAAAATTTCATAGTTAATTCCTGTTGGGAATCTGCCGAAGCAAAATGTTTGAAGTGCCCAGCGGCTTTGAGTCCGACTGTCACAGAGTCAGTAACTCTTCTCTGTATGAGCAGAGCCTCCTTCTCTGTCAGCTTGAGTCGTTTGTTCATTAGCACAGAAGTGTACACTCGGCTTACATCACATGGTATCAGCTGGTAGCGGAATGTTGGTATTGGTGAATTTTTACGTATTTTACGTATTTTTTAAGTCCGAGTATGAATAGATGAGCATGGTATCAGGCCGAAACCTGAAACCAGTATCAGTGTTGAGACCTATTTGACTATTTGATACCAATGACTGAAGTGCCCTGGAGCAAGGCACCTAACCCCCAACTGCTCCCCGGGCACCGTGGATAGGGCTGCCCACCACTCTGGGCAAGTGTGCTCACATAGAGTGCATGTATGTGGGTGTTTCACTGCATGGATGGGTTAAATGCAGAGGTCTAATTCCACTGTGTGCAAACGCAGTTGGCTGATGGTTCTGTATTCAATTCAATTGATTTCAGTCTCGTTGTCCACAGGACTGCACTGTTTGGCCAACTACTGACAGGCTGCTTATTTCAACTGCTTCTGCCTTGACTACATACATCTAATTTAGTCCACCCATATCAGAAGTTTCCACCTGCCAAATAGCAAAATTTGCATTGATTTGCAAGCATGGTTGCCTTGAGTCACAGAAACTAATGCAGTATCATAATCTGTAAGCCTTATCAAGTGAACCCAAATGTCATTATTTACATCTTTACATTACTCAACATGAAATATTCTGCTGAGTTCAGCTCCAACTCAAGCCATGAATACGCTCGTTAAGAAATTTCCAGATGACTGCCAGAGGTGCAAATGTTGTGGTACATTTTTTATTTGATTTAATATTTTATGTATGACTTAAGAGGGTATTATTGTGACTGACTTTTTACTAATGGCATGGGAGGAGCCCTAGTGAGATCTACAGTTAAACAGCATCCAAAATCCGTCTCTTTCTCTTGGGTGATTTTTTCTATGGCCCCAGGCTCAGTAATACAACTATCCTCTTTTAGCTACTTATCCCTCCCACGCACCAGTACTTTGGTTTCCTTTCCCCTCCCATATACACATAAGTGTCAGCCTTCCTCTTAAAGTGAGTAACCAGTTTCATCAAACTATCAAACTCTGAACATACTGTCTTAAACGCCTCCCAATAAAGAGACCAAAATTCAACAACAGACATGTAAAAATATGAACACAAGACTCTGTTGTATTTTTTCTCTGGGTATTTGAAACTCAGCCTGGCTACCACACCCAGGCTCATGCTGGAGATGGGTTTTGTCAAGTTTGGAGTGCATGCTAAGTCGAAACCAAAACGCAGTTGAGTAGAACTAGTTTAATCAATGCTTGAAAGCAAACACATGGAACCCAAAAAGAACAAAAACGTATGACAAACTCCCCACGGTTTAGAGTCTTGAGGGAGCTGCTCAACACTGGGGCAAAAAAACACTGTCTACTCACAGTTAATCTGGAAACACGAGCAATACAACGTTGAACCACCTTTAAAAGACACAACACACAGCTCCACCGATGTTAAAGGTGGCTCTTCCACTTTAACAGGCATCCATACGGTGCCAATGACAGTCTCTCTGATGCTAAGAACACCAGCTAGCACTTCTCTATCCAGCTGTTTGTTGTAAACAGTCCAAACTAGCTCAAACTCCTTCATCACTTTGCTGAACTTCCTTCAAGTGTTGCAACGAAATGTCCTGCTTGACTTTAGTCTTTTTTACAGCACTAAAAATCACCTATGTTTGTCCTCCTTTCTTCTGTTCATTTTTTTTTCTTTCTTTTTGTTAACTTGGCTACTGGTCGTGCTACCAAATGTGTTTCTCGGTCTCTCTGGCTGCGTCCAACACCTTATAATACTATAGACTACTACACATGCTAAAAGGTTTACTGTTGGTGGTGTACTATTTTGACATATTAAGTATGATAGGATGTGTATTTTTAATTACAGCCTCTCTTTCCTTCCATTTTTCAGTAACTTTGCACTCTACTTTCACCTGAATGACATCACGAGGCCACTCCCACAGTTTCATGATCATAGTTTACTGCATTTGTAAGTTTAGGCTGCCTGGTATCAGACATTTAACAACAGAGTTACAGCATCCAAACCAGATACAGTTTGAACCAGAAACAAAGGAGGATCACCTTTTTCTCCTACTGGCGGAAACAGGCTTGACATACATAGTGTGATACTGTTGAAACCATCACAAGCACAGCGTTAACCCTCATTCAGCCTCCATCCTGCACTGCTCCTCCTTACTGAACCACGAGTGTGGTGTTGAGATTAATATGCAGTTCAGTTTCCCACACAAGACTGAATTAATATAATTGTGGCCAGTTTAATTTGACCCTTGTATGAATTTAATGGGATGTTTTTATAATAAAGATGGTAAGAAAATATATGGGAACTTGATTGACTGACAAGAGTAAACACAATTCTGGCCTTTGAGATTTGAAACAAATATTTTAACGATTTAAATGAAAATGTAAGGAGTAATATATCTCTTACAAATGTAAATGTATGGCCACCCCCAACTGATTAGCTCTGAAGAGTTACACAGCCTGAACTCTGAAATGTAAAATACGGTATACCACTAGCACACCTAGTCCATTTTTTGAACAGTGAATTAAAAATAATGATAATATACAATAATTCATTTTCCAAATAGAGTACATCAGGAAACAGTCTCCCCAGTAATACTACAAACAAGAAAAACACCTCTACAGCTCCACCTTTCCACACCAGCTCCTTTAGAATTTACCTTCGGCAGGTGTAGATCCTCTACGAAAGACTGAAGAAGCTTTACACCGGGGCTTGTGTCCTGTTGAAAGAAACTGGATTCTGGTTATGAAACTGCTTTGTATTCTACTTTCACCTGAATGACATCATCAGGCCACTCCCACAGTTTCATAATCACAGTTTACTGCACTTGTAGGTTTTGGCCACTTGGTGTCAGACATTTACCAACTGAGTTATAGCATCCAAACCAGATACAGTTTGAACCAGAAACAATCACCTTTTTCTCCTACCTGGCGGAAACAGGGGTTACAGCCTGTAGGTACCTAGATAGATAGATTCTTTTACTGCCACATGACATGCACCTCAGTCATGTGCTGTCGGTTCAGGGGATCGAACCAGCGACCTTCTGGTCACAAAGGTTGGTTCCCTAACATCCAGCCTATATATTATATATATATATATATATATATATATATATATATATATATATATATATATATATATACACCAATCAGGCATAACATAATGACCACCTCCTTGTTTCTACACTCATTGTCCATTTTATCAGCTCCACTTACTATATAGGTGCACTTTGTAGTTCTACAGTTACAGACTGTAGTCCATCTGTTTCTCTGATACTTTGTTAGCCCACTTTTACCCTGTTCTTCAGTGGTCAGGACCCCCATGGACCCTCACAGAGCAGGTACTGTTTGGGTGGTGGATCGTTCTCAGCACTGCAGTAACACTGACGTGGTGATGGTGTGTTAGTGTGTGTTGTGCTGGTCTGAGTGGATCAGACAGAGCAGTGCTGCGTAGAGTTTTTAAACGCTGTGTCCACTCACTGTCCACTCTATTAGACACTCCTACCTTGTCAGTCCACCTTGTAGATGTAAGGTCAGAGACGATAGCTCATCTGCTGCTACACAGTTTGTGTTGGTCATCCTCTAGTCCTTCATCAGTGGTCACAGGACGCTGCCCACAGGACACTGTTGGCTGGATGTTTTTGGTTGGTGGACTATTCTCAGTCCAGCAGTGACATTGCGGTGTTTAAAAACTCCAGCAGCACTGTTGTGTCTGATCCACTCAGACCAGCGCAACACACACCAACACACCACCACCATGTTAGTGTTACTGCAGTACTGAGAATGATCCACTACCCAAATAGTACCTGCTCTGTGAGGGTCCATGGGGGTCCTGACCACTGAAGAACTGGGTAAAAGGGGGCTAACAAAGTATGCAGAGAAACAGATGGACTACAGTCTGTAACTGTAGAACTACAAAGTGCACCTATATAGTAAGTGGAGCTGATAAAATGGACAATGAGCGTAGAAACAAGGAATATGGTTTTTATTACCCAAATATTTGAAACATTGTGATGCTAAGACAGGCAGCTAGGGGGAGACACTGACACTAAAACATAAAATACCGCTTATCCTTCTGGGTCGCTGGAGCCTATCCCAGCTGTCATTGGGCAGAAGGCAGGATACACCCTGGACAGGTCGCCAGTCCATCGCAGGGCAGACAGACAGACATACACAGTCACACACACACTCACACCTAGGGGCAATTTAGCATGTCCAATCAGCCTGACTGCATGTCTTTTGGACTGTGGGAGGAAACCGGAGTACCCGGAGAAAACCCACACAGACACGGGGAGAACATGCAAACTCCACACAGAAATGACCCTGTTCACCCGGCCGGGGATCGAACCCAGGCCATTTTTGCTGTGAGGCGACACTGCGCCACCGTGCCGCCCTTAAAACATAAAATAAATAACAAAATTCATAATAACTTTTTAAAAGACCTGTTAGTGCTATAAAAAATATAGGTTTAGACACATTTCTGAGCTTTTTGCCCAGGTAAGTTGAACTACAGCCTACCAGCTGTTTTGTATGCACTATGACAGGACAATAACAGTGTTTTATGATAGACAGCAGAAATTACAATCACTGGCTAAAGGGGTTAAACACATGCTGAGAACGGAGACGCGACCAAGACTAGAATAACGTCTTTTTCTCTAATATCAACCGCTAACATGACCAAAATGCAATTGTCTAAATACACTGATTTCTTCGGACTGTATTTCAGTAAAGTTTAAGCTAAATTTATGACAAAGTCTTCTCTAACACCATGGATCTGCTCAGAAAATAAGTTTCTGAGATTATACTTATTTAATGTTTTCCATTAAGATTATGTCCATTTCTCAGAGATTATTATCCTTTAATGTGTTGCAGTGAGACAGGTGTGGAGATGGCCTCAGGGCCTCTGATTAGTACAGTAAATTCTGTAAATCTACCATAAAACTTTTTTTATATTTTACTTAGAAACTTCTCGTCAATTTTACTTTCTTTTAATTCTGCATTGTTAAATAATCATTTAATTATAAATTAAATATAATAGCACCCTAAACAAGACAAAAATGCCAACAAAGCCAAAGCCATGGAGGTCTGCACTATGTAATTCAACAAACTTCAGCCAAGAAAATCTTCATAGTTGAGTGTGAGGACTCGTGTTTTACTCACATGAATGTTGCTTGCTTCACTGATCAGTGCTCAGATAAATTCTCCATGGATTTTGACAGTCATGCAGTTCAGTAAGGAACTTCAACAATGTGGAGTGTCTTGTGGTTCTTTTCTCCTCTCTGCTCCACTTTCATCCCTTATTCAAGAGGCTTCTGTAGCACAGACACAAACAACAAGGTAGGGCTGATTTTTTCCAAGCTTGTGGACAATTAACAGTCTAGATTTCTCTAGTTTGCATCTAATTCAACTAAAAAAGGTCAGGGCAGCTCTTATCTAAATAGGCCAAGCAGGACACTGACCTCTAAATGAACTCCAGTTGCAGTGCTCTCAATGGGACATGGATGTTGACAGTTGTTTGGTCTACAGCCATCTGATGCCATTCGTCACCTCAAACACACAATTCACATTGGGTTTCTAGGTTAACAGGCACACCTACTTTGCAGGTACACTCACTGGCCACTGTATCAGGTACACCTACCATGGGATTACTTTGCTATAATACACCGATCAGGCATAACATTATGACCACCTCCTTGTTTCTACGCTCATTGTCCATTTGATCAGCTCCACTTACTATATAGGTGCACTTTGTAGTTCTACAGTTACAGACTGTAGTCCATCTGTTTCTCTGATACTTTGTTAGCCCCCTTTTACCCTGTTCTTCAGTGGTCAGGACCCCCATGAACCCTCACAGAGCAGGTACTATTTGGGTGGTGGATCATTCTCAGCACTGCAGTAACACTGACGTGGTGGTGGTGTGTTAGTGTGTGTTGTGCTGGTACGAGTGGATCAGACACAGCAGTGCTGCTGGAGTTTTTAAACACTGTGCCCACTCACTGTCCACTCTATTAGACACTCCTACCTTGTCAGTCCACCTTGTAGATGTAAAGTCAGAGACGATAGCTCATCTGCTGCTGCACAGTTTGTGTTGGTCATCCTCTAGTCCTTCATCAGTGGTCACAGGACGCTGCCCACAGGACGCTGTTGGCTGGATATTTTTGGTTGGTGGACTATTCTCAGTCCAGCAGTGACACTGAGGTGTAGTACCTGCTCTGTGAGGGTCCATGGGGGTCCTGACCGCTGAAGAACAGGGTAAAAGGGGGGCTAACAAAGTATGCAGAGAAACAGATGGACTACAGTCTGTAACTGTAGAACTACAAAGTGTGTATGTTGCTGTACAGTATATTAGTCACTCCTTAGCCCACCAGTCAATGAAAAGGGACCAGATATTATATGGAGAATGGACCATTATCAACACTCATCATATTCTGTATGGAAAATGCTTGGAATTGCTTCCTCAGGTCGTATGGTGCAATTTGGGAAACCCCCAGCAAAGACAATTACATTTGCTCATTCATCATCTAAGCTGCGTATCCTCCTGGGTCGCTGGAGCGTTTTCCAGAGCTCACTGGGTGGAAGGCAGAAACATTTACAGCAAAAGAATAAAATAGAATAAATGTGGCCCTACTATCAATGAAAACTGTAAGCCAACAGTGGCTCTGTGGTCAGAGCTAAAGGCTGACTACTCTTGAGGTATATTTAAAATGGTGGCTTTATAAAAGAAGGCAAAAACATTCTTAACTCTTAGTATAAGTTGATATTGTAGTATTTAGGAGTTCCATTGCTCTGTTTTTGCAGGTTTGGAATGTTTAAGTTAAGGGGGCCCCTGGTCCAAAGGCCCCCATAGGGAGTGGGCCTCTTAATTCCAAATAGATGAGATCCTTTTAATAAGGACCATATGTTCTGTCTCCTTTTTCTCTTTTCCTTCTAAATTTATGCTACCTTTATGAGATGTGAATATTCAACAAAAAGCTGCTTCAGACACTGTTCGTGAACTAGCGTTCGAGTGGGAACTTTACAATTGAATCTTCCATTCCACACCTCCAGTTCCTTAGAACAGACCCGAAATTCACCAAGTGATTTTCCAGGATTTTAGGCCCGTCTAAAACCGCCTCCCAGAGGGCTTTGGTCCAAATCTGCGGCTCCTTTTCTCTTTTAACTCTTCTCTTCTCTATTTTCTTTAACTTCTCTTATTTCTCTTTAACTCTTCTCTTCTCTTATTCTCGCCTCTTTTTTACCATTAATCTAATTTCCCCCAGGGCCCTGGGCTGTTACTTTTCACTTTTTTCCCTTTTCTGATCTGACTATTTCTCTAAGCCAACTTTCATGCAGTGACCAATATACACATGTCTTACCGTTAAGAAGATAAGGGCCCAACCTTCATTAATCTCGCATGGTGTTATTTAGCTCACCTTATCGTTACTAATTAGGCTATTCTACACTTTTACATCAGCTTTCCTTTTCTCTCTTATACTCCCCCTTTTATTGCAGCGTTCACAACACAATAAACCCCAATTTAGAACGGAGAAGCACTCCAAACATCAACACAGCATGGCACGCACGCACACAATTCTTTACGGTGCGACTAGACAGCAAACACCCAACAGCCTCAACGAAAAAACCAGCACACAACTGAATTGCCGGCCAGGTGCGGGAGTTAGTGTGCTAAGGCTGTCGGCGACGCAGGAGGCCACAACACGGCCGAAGTTTGTGACGCCAAATTCTTGTTGTTTATTAAGTAGCGATGATGTGAAGATGATGA